TTTTTTTAAAAAAAAAAAAAAAAAAAAAACAGAAAAAACACGATGAATGTAACAAATTTGTTGTATATTAATTAGAGTTTTGCAAAATATGCGAAAGTATCCGAATTATATATTGTATTGTACTTTGCAGAGTGCTTGTCATAATAATTACCAAATGAAATAAATTTCTATTTATTTCAGAAACTCTTTGTTGCACTCTGAACCGAGGGTATTATCTCGCGAGAAATATCTGTATACTGATTCACACGACTGTGATTCTCAGACGGATAACCATATGTGTATGTAGGATTCATTGAGAGGATCTCGGGGGCCGTTGTCACAAAATTTCAAGGAAATTTCGCGGCTTGTTCGCGGGAGGTTCTCGTCGGATGAATTGCGACGAAAAAGAGAGAGAAAAAAAAAAAAAGAAACACAAAGAAAGAAAGAAAAAGAATGAACGGTGGAAAAAGTTGTCAGAATGAGTAACTTCGGCCGCACTAACACGTGTTCGTTTATTTAGCACGCTTGAGAGTGATGTATGACGAGGACACGAGGCGAGTAGTTTAGCGTAGTTTAGACGTGTTATGTATGTCTGTATGCTTCGCTTTGTTCTTCGATCTCCTTCCCCATTTTTTTTATTAGTGTGTGTCTATATGAGCGTGTGTTATCTTTTACGTTATCGATCAAAGTGCATGCGTTGCTCATTTTTCTTTTTCTTTTGTTACCATTGTCTCAGAAAGTATTACGTATGATGAAGCTATACTACGTGTTAACAATAAGATCAAGTTTGATAAAATGTAACAGTTACTGTAATAATAATTACCAATTTATCGATACTTTGAGCTGTTCAAACTTCGTGAAACGTGACGCAACGTCCGCGAACCAACAGAACCGCATAAGAGACAATAATAAGAATTATCGTATTATCATATTTATCGTATAATACTATACGATAATATTATATTAATTCTTGTTATTATCTCTTATGCGGGTCCGTTTGTTTGCTGATGTTGCGTTACGATTTATGAAGTTTGAACAGCTCAAAGTATCGATAATTTCTCGAATTATCGATACTTTCGTCCATCTCTGTATATTATAATAAATTTTCTAAGCGTTCAAAATATTTTTATCAATTGTCATAACTGGACTATGGACTTTTGTGCATTCTTAAATTAAAGAATTGGAACCTGAGTAAAAATTCCTTTCTTGCACGTTTTACTACAATAAATATTCATTTTATTCATATTTTTGCATATTATGTATATTGTGTGCATTTTTGCATTTATGAAATTTTCATATATTCGTAAAAATCCGCAGCGTAGTCGTGACATGCAGTAAATGGTTGTCAAACTCTTTCGAATATTTCTACTGTATACAAAACAATAGTAAATGCATCTTGATCTTCCTTTTCTATTATATTTTTATAAACACATGAGTTGTAGGAACAATTTTGTATGTAAATCTTCGAACGTTTATAATTTTTCAACAAAGTGTATGATTTTTTTTTTTTATCTCTTTGATCTCATTAATACGTAGTATGAATTTGGTCGTGATTTTTTTGATCATAGTGTGTTTAGATTAAACGAATGAAAACTCATTTTGTCTCGAACGTCGATAAAATTCGTAATCGTATTCGAATTTTTATTGCAAAAAGGCACAAGATGCATACGATATTAAAAAATAAAAAATTTTATAAGTTGTGTTTTTGACCCTGATTTCATGCGTAAAATAATATTATCTGCTACATTTTTGAATTCTCATATTTCAATTTTATTCCCATTTTAGGAAATGAAATAAATTTATGACATTTTTAAGAAGATGTTCAACACGAAATTGAGTCGAAAAATTCGCGCATACGAATAAAAACATTTTTCATAATTCGTTCAAATTTGAAATATCTTTTAACAAAATTAATTTAACAAAAATACAAATGTACGGGAAATGTTCAGAAAATGATAGCAGTTAATCATCGTTTCAATGACTTTCTCCGATCTTTTAATCAATTTTTTTTATTCCATTTTCAAAACATGTTTGGGGCTTCGAATTTATTGCCGATCTACGGCCACTATCGTTTAAATAAAATTGAAAGTATAAAATACCGAAAGTGTCACATTTATAATAACAAACGACGACTCTGTCATTCTATTTCTTTGATCTTTAACTGGTAGGTTAATCATTAACTATTGAATATTCGACACTATAAAAATTTATATTTTACACTGCTTGATTTTGAAATTCTTGATTTGATTTAATATTATTACTAATATTAATATTATATTAATATTAAAAAATATATATAAAATACAAAACAAAATTAAATTACTAAGTACTTTATAGCATAATACAAATTACTATGACCCCAAGATGTCACGTAAAGTATTCACGTATTAATCGTAAAAATTTATATTAAAATTTAATATAGATGTTAAAATTTGTATTAAAAATTTGTCATTATTATTCGTAAAAATTTATATTCGCATGAACGCCTGCAGTCTCTTTATTACGCTAAATAAGTATTAGCATAATAAATGTATTACGGTAAATGATACGGTC